TGATTCATCGATGATCTATCGCCGATCTGTGCACGTGGCAATCGGGGGATGGGTTAGGCAAGGCAAAGAGGAGGTTCCGGTTGCGCTCGCGCGTCCCCTCTTCTCCTTAGCCATCCATCTCTTTTCTATTAGCCTCACGTCATGCCCACTTTTCTCAGCTTTTTGCTTTTTTTTTTTGCCATTCCTTTTCCAATCCTCTTCTTCTCAATGACAACATAAACAAAGTGTCGCTATCGTGAGTGATTCCACCAGCACTCAAAGCCTTTCACTTCTCGCCTATTTTTGTTGATTTGTCTTGAAACAAATAACTTATAAAGGAACACAAATGACTTATAAAGTTTCGATTTTTGAACATTTACCGTAAATACTGTACTAGTGCTCCACTTCCATAATGACGGTTCAGAGTGTTGCGTAGTCTAGCTTTGAACGAGTTTTTTTTCGACACTGGTTTATGCAACAATGCTCGTTTAGGTATCAAAAAATAGCCCTGAATCTCAGCTATTTTTTGATATCTAAACGAGCATTGTAGCATAAACCAGTGTCGAGAAAAACGCATCCAAGACTAGACTACGCAACGCTCCGCAACACTCCGCACCGTCATTATACGGGTAGGGTACTATTAAAGTATTTACGGTATCTCATTCTTTAACTACAGTAACACAATCTGCAGATATAACGGTTTTGTTTTGAAACGAATCTTACTTTTTTTCGAGTTCTTTACTAGATTTAGTCTTAATTTCTCTACGCTCAATTTGATCGAACGCAACGCTCGATCAAATTGAGCGTAGTGAAATTAACTTGTAGATATAAGATTTAAGTAAAAGGTATTGTCAAATCTTTTTGCACAAATCAACGAAAGCTCTTGAGTCAAAAAATGAGACTTAAATGACGTTGATGATCGTTTCCCAATCACTCCCATTTTCCCCTTTCCGTCATCCATCTTCTTTATAATCTCATAAATAAATAAAAGATTGATATTTAAAAATATCTAAAGAGCAAAAAGAGTCAACAAATAAAAATTATAAAAGATTTATTTTGGATTGAATGGGTTTCCCGGAAAGTGCAAATTATAAAATGATTGGCGAGGTGTTCTTTGTGCGGCCACGTAATCGCTCGTCATCTGGCGCACAGTCCCTATAGATAGGTGCTACTTTTTCAATCGACGAAAGAGTCAATAAATAAGAATTATAAAAGATTTGTTTTGTAAAAGGTTCAATGGGTTTCCCGGAAAGTGCAAATGTATAAATTCCAAAACAGATTGTTGGAGGTGGAGGTAATTTTAGAAACCATCAAAAAGGGGAAAACATGGGATTTGATATGGAAATGAAATGGAAATGAAATGAGGGTTTGATCTTATCGCAAAAGTTACAGTAATCCGCTTTGTAGAAGGGGATTGTAGAATGGGGAGAGTGCGGAAATGTTGTTTCAACAGAATAGAGTACAGAACTTTCTCGATTTCGGAATACAATCTGTCAAAACTGTTAGACTATATCTCACAAAATAAAATGAACATTACCAATCGATTCTCCGATCCTGAAAACCCCTTGGTACAAATTTACAGCTTAATATCTTCATTCTATGCCATTTAGAATATAAAACAAAGTCTATGTAAATGACTGGCGAGGTGTTCTTTGTGTGGTCTGATAATCGCTCGTCATCTGGCGCACGGTCCCGATAGATAGGTGCTACTTTTTCAATCGACAAAGTGAAAGGAGCGGTGAGCGACTGAGCCGAACTCTTGGTTTTTTTCGCCACTATGATTAGGCAGTCCCAGGCAGTCCCAGGAAATGTTCCCCATTCCTGGAGACACACTCCTGGGACACACTCCTGGGACACACTCCTGGGACACACTCCTGGGACACACTCCTGGGACACACTCCTGGGACACACTCCTGGGACACACTCCTGGGACACACTCCTGGGACACACTCCTGGGACACACTCCTGGGACACACTCCTGGGACACACTCCTGGGACACACTCCTGGGACACACTCCTGGGACACACTCCTGGGACACACTCCTGGGACACACTCCTGGGACACATTTCCGCACCAAATTTATCATTTCACGAGAAATTCCACACCGGTTGGATCGGCAACGGCAATTTTTCCAATATCCAATGAATAGAGGTGAAAAAGAATCGAATTGAGTTCGGAAATGTTGTTTCAACAGAACAGAGTACAGAATTTTGTCTCCTGGGATCCGCAAGACCAGATCCAGGTTTGATCTTAAATTTTTGAATTTAGAATTCAAGTTCTTTCTATTTAGTTGATCACTAAGATCACTAAGTCTTATTCAAAGAAAGAATTCAATTTTAAGATTTCCCATCTGCCTTTCAAAATTCTGACGGTTTCAAAGTTCAATCTCTTTCAAAGTTTCAAAGTTCAATCTCCCAGTGTTGTTCCATTGCTCATTTAATTTCTGGATTCAACGACAGAGAAAAAAGAAGCGATGAGGGGATTAACTTAATAAAATGAACTATTCGTCTCTTGTATTCCCCTTTAACTAAAAAAAACTCTACCTGGGTTGCTTTCTGAGCAATTTCTGAGCTCTTTGATGAGAAAAGAATTCTAGTGCACAAGGACGAACACTGATTCGGTGTTCACTCTTTTAAAGTGGGTTCAACTTGAACTTGAACATTTTAGTTCAATACTAGAATACCTCAAACATCAACAAGTCACTTTTCTTTGGATCTTTGAAAATGACCTTGAGTTGATGGAGTTGCGAGGGAAAAATGAGAGCGGATAATCAAGGGAACTCTTCTTTAGACATGGTTAGACAACATAGATCAATTTGGGGTAAAGAAATTTGAAAAGTTATATCAAAATTTTGAACTAAATAGATAAAATTGTGCTAATATTTGTTTTGCTTCTAAATCTCAAAGACTTCTAAATCTCAAAGAGTTTCTATGCGACAGAGATTTCTACTAGAGAAATACGATTGTCAGTATTGTATCTTAACTAAAGAGAAACTTTTTACTAGGGAAATACGATAGTTTCTAATGAGCTTCAGCTTCTCATGACCTTCAGCTTCTCATGACCTTCAGCTTCTCATGACCTTCAGCTTCTCATGAGCTTCAGCTTCTCATGACCTTCAGCTTCTCATGAGCTTCAGCTTCTCATGACCTTCAGCTTCTCATGAGCTTCAGCTTCTCATGAGCTTCAGCTTCTCATGACCTTCAGCTTCTCATGAGCTTCAGCTTCTAATGACCTTCAGCTTCTATTCAGCTTCTAATGAGTCAAAAAATGCAGAATTTCATTTTCTCTAATTGTAAGTACCATTTAAATTATTCTATAGAGATTGAAAGAGTGCCATAGCTTAAAGCTCGTTTATTTTGATAGACTCTATTTGATTCAAATGTTACAAATCTGTTTCTAACTTCTTTTTTGAGTTAGGGTTGAGCTTAGCTTGAGCTTAGCTTTGCCTACAATCAGGCAAAGAATTGTAGAATTGTAGAATTGAATAGATCTATTGAATAGATTGAAATAAATTTAAAATATTTATGAATGGTAAGAAAAAAGAAAAGGTTAAAGATGAATTACAGAAGGGGAAAAAAGGTAAAGTTATCGAAATTGGGGCGAGTGTTTTGCGGAGAAAAAGATGAGAGAAGGTTTGTGATTGTGAATTGAATAGCTGAGTTGAATGATTGACATGCAAATCTTTCTCGATTTTCTCTCCACAAGATCCCATTGTACTTTTCCCGCTTGACAAGCACAGATTTCGGTCTTGCAATGGACTAGGGTCGAGGATGATTTCCCTGTAACTTCCACACATTCAATATTTCTCCATCATCATTCGACTCGATTCTACTTTGGGGTGAAAATTTGATGTATGAATGAAGTTGTGTTGATGTTCGAGAGTTGAGCTTTGTTGCCACAAAAATTGGTTTCACGTTGAGTTATATTGTAAACATGTGTTTTGCTCAGTTTATTATCATATTTGATAGCGAGCTGCTTTATATATCTTTAGTTAACTTTCCTGAACTCTTTTTACGATCATAGAAATCGATCTTTGTTAAATAGATAGTTTAGCTGATAGTACAAAAATTGTATAAAGCTATCTAGCTGGCAAAGCGAGTAAACGGTTTCCTAAAAGATGGATTGTTTTTTTTTCCATGGAAAAGCAAGCAGGATGCAGTAAAATGAACATCCCCAATCGATTCTCCGACCCTGAAAACCCTTTGGTACAAATTTACAGCTTAATATCTTCATTCTATGCCATTTACAATACAAAACAAATCCCTGCAAATGACAGGCAAGGTGTTCTTTGTGTGGCCTGGTAATCGCTCGTCATCTGGCGCACGGTCCCGATAGATACCTATTCCCTTAGAGGCTTTGAAGCGCAAAGAGAAGTGGTCATTGACTGTGCAGTCACCCGTTTGCTCCGTCACTATGCGCAATTCCCCTGCAAACTCCCTGCCACAAATTTGGCCATAAATTCTACATCCTGTTAAACCAAGATCTACAGTCAAACAACCGAAATCCAGGTACTGTACTCCGTTGTCCGTCTCCTCAATGACGAACGTGGCTCGGGAATCGCCGCGTCCTCTTTATCAATGACTTGGATAACATTTCTGCACCAAATTCATCCGTATGTTCGCGAGAAATTCCACATCGGTTGGATCGGCAACGGAAATTTTTCCAATATCCAATGGATAGTGGTGAAAAAGGTTCGAATTGGTTTTGGGTTTTGGAAATGATAGCCTTTCACAAATGAAAAGACCCGAATTTCCGGGAAAAGCCTCCATTATTTAGATCAATCTGTCTATATTATAACGAGTTTTGATCAATTCTTCAAAAGATCAACTCTTCAAAAGATCAATTCTTCTTCTTCAAATCAGCGCACTCAAACTCTAACAGGCTTAGATTTTTGAGCTGGTTTTTAAGAAAAACCCATCAAGGACACTTTCCAGACATTGATGAGATCAAAAATAAAACCGGATTCTTTAAAAGAAATCTTTTATTTACTGTACAAAGTGTTGAAAAATTGATGAATTTACGAGCATCCGCAGCACCCTTTGATGTTGTTCCAATAGCCGACGGTGGCTGAGTTCTTGCAGCCTTGAGGGCCTGGAATAGAATGATTTTAGTTGAGTTTTTTCGATATGAAACTTTGACAGGTTTAAAATCTAGAATAAGTTTAGAAGGAGTATGAGATTTCTCTGGAAGGAATTTCTCTTGAATTTCTTCAGAATTGATCGCCCAACTCTTACCTCCATTGTGATTTCGAGCCATAATCTGGCAATCGCCCATTCCCAAACCGTTGCACTGACTCCTGTATCGATTGTAGTAATTCTGGACACAGGTTGTCGCGCACGAGTAATCATCGGAACATCTGCAAAAGGAAATTCATTGGGTAAAGTTAATCCATTGGGTTAATCCAAAAAAACCATTTGAATAAAGTATGACATTGCACTAGAAAGCTGCCTTTTTTCTCATCCTGCTCAACTACGGCCATGGCCGACTGGTTAAGAACAATTTCTCTCGTTCGAGAGATCGAGGGTTCAATTCCCTTTTTGGATATTCGTTTTTCATTCTTTTTCGATTGATTAAAATCAAATTAAATCAAGGATTGAGTGAAATCGGTCAAGATATGGCCTTTTTCCGTTGGACACCTATTGACTTTTAGAGCAAATACTCACCTCTTCCAGGCGGTTTCAGTCGTGTCTCCGGATTGTTTCCCGGGTTGACCACAATCCTGATAGTAGGGGAGCTTGATCTGAAAAAGGAAACATTTTGATAAAGCTATAGATAATCAAAAGCTTTATGGAATAGTTATTTATTCTATAGCAAGGCTTGGATTAGTAGACGAAATGGGGTAAAGGAGCTATCTAAAAATTCCTTTACTTGATAATATCCACATGAGAGCGATCCGACATCCATATTGCATCCGATAGCCTTACAACCGGACTCATGAAGGCAAATGCAGTGGATACATGTGTCCGCTGCTGAGGCAACAGCAACTAAACAAGATTGTTTGGGGAGGGAAAGTGAATACAGCTTTTAGAATCTAGGAGTTTCTATAAACAGTTATGTAAGCAAGACTGAGTTTTATATAACAGTAGTAGTCAACATTTCACTATCAAACGATAGCTTTTGCTCTAAGCTTAGGTACAGTCAAAAATACAGTACAGTTACTTGTTTAAGTACAGTACAGTAGGTACAGTACAGTCGGTACAGTACAGTCGGTACAGTACAGTAGGTACAGTGCAGTAGGTACAGTACAGTCGGTACAGTACAGTCGGTACAGTACAGTAGGTACAGTACAGTGGGTACAGTACAGTGGGTACAGTACAGTAGTTATAGTACAGTCGGTACAGTACAGTAGGTACAGTACAGTGGGAACAGTACAGTGGGTACAGTACAGTAGTTACAGTACAGTGGGTACAGTACAGTAGTTACAGTACAGTGGGTACAGTACAGTAGTTACAGTACAGTGGGTACAGTACAGTAGTTACAGTACAGTCGGTACAGTACAGTTACTTGTTTAAAAACACAACAAAACAATCAAAAACTACCGTACCCAATAAAGCGACGAGCACGATTTTGGCAATCATTTTACAGAAAATCTCTCAAATTTCCAGAGAATCTGTGAGCTTTTCAATGCGATTTCTTATCATAAACACGTGCCTTCCACTCCATTTTACAGTCATTTTTCTATCAAGATTAATACCGGCACTTTGTAGAAAAGAAGAAATCTGGTGAAGAAGGAATGTACCTGATTTTATGTGCTTTAGAGAGAAATTCAAAGAAAACTCAGTAATCTGAATTGGGAAGAACCGGATCTAAAGGACAAGCGAGATTTGACAGCTTTTGATTTATGTTTTAATTGTTGACTAGATGACCAAGCATCCAAGTATCCAAGCATCCAAGCATCCAAGCACCCAAGCACCCAAGCATCCAAGCATCCAAGTATCCAAGTATCCAAGCATCCAAGCATCAAGCATCCAAGCATTCAAGCATCCAATCATCCAAGCATTCAAGCATTCAAGCATCCAAGCATCAAGCATCCAAGCATCAAGCATCCAAGCATTCAAGCATTCAAGCATCCAACCATCCAAGCATTCAAGCATCCAAGCATCAAGCATCCAAGCATTCAAGCATCCAACCATCCAAGCATTCAAGCATCCAAGCATCAAGCATCCAAGCATTCAAGCATCCAACCATCCAAGCATTCAAGCATCCAAGCATCAAGCATCCAAGCATTCAAGCATCCAACCATCCAAGCATTCAAGCATCCAAGCATCAAGCATCCAAGCATTCAAGCATCCAACCATCCAAGCATTCAAGCATCCAAGCATCAAGCATCCAAGCATTCAAGCATCCAACCATCCAAGCATCCAAGCATCAAGCATCCAAGCATTCAAGCATCCAATCATCCAAGCATTCAAGCATCCAAGCATCAAGCATCCAAGCATCAAGCATCCAAGCATCAAGCATCCAAGCATTCAAGCATCCAATCATCCAAGCATTCAAGCATCCAAGCATCCAATCATCCAAGCATTCAAGCATCCAAGCATCAAGCATCCAAGCATCAAGCATCCAAGCATCAAGCATCCAAGCATTCAAGCATTCAAGCATCCAACCATCCAAGCATTCAAGCATTCAAGCATTCAAGCATTGTCTTTTGTTTCTTGTATTAATGCTTGAGTCAGTCTTGAGCCTGAGTCACCCAGATTGTTTACAAGAAACTAATACAGTTACAGGAAACGCATCTTTAGCATTTGTTCAATTTCAGGAGCTCTTCTTGTTCTTCTTCGTACTGATTTTCTTTTTCGAGTTTGTTTCTGATTACTCTAAACTATTTGAATCAAATTTACTTTAATCCAATAATTTTTTTTTTATTGAAACAGGAATTTTGTGAGTAAAAAGATGCTGACCGTGTTTTACAAGCGTTTATGGCTTTTTCGATGCCTTGGCTTAAAAGAATCGTTTTCGAAAAGAGAAAATGAAAAGATTCATTATCGCACTGAATTCAGGGAATCAAGAAAGAAGGAAAGAAAGAAAGAAAGAAGGAAAGAAAAAAGAAATGAAAGCTGCTGACGTCTCCAATCAGTCAATCATTCATCAAAAACGACCCTTGATCTTGTCAAGTCTAATAGAACAATGAATGAAAATAAAAATAATGACATTATTTAGAAATTTCTTGAATAATACTTTAATACATATATATCGTAGCAGTTTACGAAATTCAGCCGTTAACGATGGTCATCAATCCTTTTCTCATCAATAGAAACTGGGCATCAATCCTTTTCTCATGCTTTATCATTTAAGTGATAAAGCACAGATTGTTCTAACGAATTTCATCGGCTAACCGTTTACGAATCATTCGCTAACGTAGCCGTTAACGAATCATTGGTAATCGGCTAGCTGTTAACAAATGATTTGTAATCGGCTAGCTGTTAGGGAATGATTCGTAATCGACTAGCTGTTAACGAATGATTTGTAATCGGCTAGCTGTTAACGAATGATTCGTAATCGGCTAGCTGTTAACGAATGATTCGTAATCGGCTAGCTGTTAGGGAATGATTCGTAATCGGCTAGCTGTTAACAAATCATTCGCTAACGTAGCCGATTACGAATGATTCGTTAACAGCTAGCCGTTTACCAATGATTCGTTAGCGGCTAGCGAAAAATTTCATTCGTTAACGGCTAGCCACTTACGAATCATTCGTTAACGGCTACGTTTACCAATGATTCGTTAACGGCTACGTTAGCGAATGATTCGTTAACGGCTAGCCGCTTACCAATGATTCGTTAACAGCTAGCCGCTAACGAATCAGTTAACAGCTAGTCGTTTACCAATGATTCGTTCGCATCTGAATTTCGTAGACGGCTACGAGATATAAATCTCTTTTGCTAATTTCATTGAGATTATGTAAGTGTTCAAGTTCTGTAAATAAAAATAAAGCCAAGGAGTGAAATTTTTAACTCAAAAATCATCCTTGAGCTTTAAAATTTCAAATTTTTTATTAAAATTCTTATTAAATTCTTAATAAATTGTGTGTAATTTTATTCTTTAGCTCTTTTTAATCAAAAATCAAAATAGCTTTCAATTTATTCGTGTAATCATCAAAATATCCTTAAAAACTCATTTTATTTCTTGATTTCTTGATTTCTTGATTTCTTGATTTCTTGATTTCTTGATTTCTTGATTTCTTCATTTCTTCATCTCATCAATATTATATTGCGTAAAGCCATCGATGACTCCATTTTCGTAGAAAGAATCGAGTAAACGCGTGAACAAATAATCACTCGCTAACAACAGTGCCAAGTACTGTAATTTGATAGATTTGATAGATTTGATAGATTTGATAGATTTAAAGAATTTTAAAGAAAAAGAGAAGAGTTTTAAAGAGTTTCTAAACCTGTATCCAAGCCCATTTCAGCAACTCCCACGTGGTGGTGGCTCTGATGAGAGTTTGCGAGGGGATTGTGAATGAGAGACGAAATGAGAGATCGCTTGAGGGAAGCCAGCTTGACGATGAGCTGCAATCAGCTTTCGATTTCATATGAAGATTGATAAGAAACGAATTAAGTTACCGTAAAATATCGACTCCTAGCATTTGGCCTCGAATTTTCCCAATCAATGTCGAATAGGAGAGCTCGATCGCTCGGAGATCCGATTTTGACGGAAATAAGCGTTGTCTGGAAACGGTATTGAAAGCTTAGACGCTAGAGAATTCAAATGACTTTTGTCCGAGGTTTTTGAAATGAGTTTAGCTGCGCGTTACACCAACGAAGAGAAATTTTAAATGGAAAAGCAAACTAGATACAGTAAAACGAACATTCCCAATCGATTCCCCGTCCCCGAAAACCCCTTGGTACAAATTTACAGTTTAATATCTTCATTCTATACCATTTACGATACAAAACAAATCCCTGGAAATGACTGGCGAGGTGTTCTTTGTGTGGCCTGGTAATCGGTCGTCATCTGGCGCACTGTCCCGATAGATAGCTGTTTCCCTTATAGGGTTTTCAAGAGGGAGGAGAAGTTTATCCTCCAAATCAAATCTATGCAAAAGCTAGCAAATTGTTCTTTGTGAGGCCTCGTAATCGCTGGCTACCCAACGCACGCCCCCGATAGATAGCTGTTTCCTTTGTGCAATGGCTAGCAAAGCGTTAGGGTGTGTACGTAGCGCAGCTGGTGCTAGCCCGGGCTCCCTTACTTGGTTTCCCGGCTCCCAGTTCGAATCCCCGTGCTGACAATTCCCCCAATTCTTTTCCGAAAGAAGTCACTATTAACATTTTTAGCAATTAGGAGATAGATAGACAATTAGGAGATAGAACCAAGAACGTGATTTCAACATTTAACATTTCCTTGCTTTGAGCGTCACTATGTCAATTCTTTGGCAAAGTATTTATCACTTAAATTTGTCTGCAGTTAAATTTTTGAGGAAGAAATTTCCAGAAGATTTTGCATTTTTGATTTTTTGCAAATTCCCAGATTTTTGCACGTTATTCGTATAGTATTTATTGTTGAATTTATCGTTAAAAAAGTTGACTAAATCTGAAATTCAAACATTACTTGAATGTCTCAGGAATCGGTGCTAATTGATTACTCCCAAGTACTCCACTCATCTCGAATGAGGCCTTAGGATCGGGTACAGAAGTCGATCCAACGAGAGCCACATCAGCCTGGGTTTTGGTAATTTTAGTATAATAGTATAATAGTATAATAATAGTATAATAATAGTTTAGTATAATAATTTTCGGATTCTTCATTTCACCTCTAAATCCATCGATTTCATCAATCGATAATCGAGAAAAACGATCCAATCAAGGTGAACGACTGTGAAATTCTCTTCTAGCGGTAGGTGAAAGTTCAGGGTGAGCTGAATTAAGTTTTAAGAAAAGAAAGAAGAGAAAGAAGAGAAAGAAGAGAAAGAAGAGAAAGAAGAGAAAGAAGAGAAAGAAGAGAAAGCAGTCACAGTACAAGAAAAGAAATTCAAAGCATACTGATAGCTTTGCTTATTGGTCAAAGTGGATTATGTCCAGAAAAGAATGAAAATAACTAAGAAAGCTTTTCTGATTTCTATTTGGCACTAAATTAACTGATAAGCACAAAGTTTTGACTGTTTAAACCTCACCAAATCATTTTTCCCATCTTGATCCGAATCTAGAGCAGAAGTCTCCAAATTTGAGAAGCTAAACGAAAAGTGTTTAGCTAAAATCCGAAAAATGATACAATCCTGTTATATCCGTTATTCACTATCACTTTTCTTCTATTTCTAATATCTAACGTACTTGAAATTGTACTTTATTCGTAAAAAAAAGTGAAGAAATTGAAATAGAAAAGGTAGATTTCCTGAGAGGGGATCGAACCCTTGATCTCGAACGTAGACCCTCGCTTTCCAGGCAGTCACCCTAACCACTGAGCTATTCCGCACCTTGGATGCCGAAGAAAAAAAAGGAAAGATAAGGGGGAAGAAGCAATATTTAAATCAGATTTAAAGCACTCAAATAAATGAAATAAGAGTTATTTTGTCTTGAATTACTTAAAATTAAATGTTAGATTTCTCAATTTATGGCAATAACAGGAAATTCTCTTCTAGCGGTAGGTGAAAGTTCAGAAAAATTCAACGCTTACTGATAGCTTTGCTTATTGGTCAAAGTGGATTATGGCAGAAAAGAATGGAAATAGCTAAGAAATAAATTCTCTTCTAGCGATAGGTGAAAGTTCAGGATGAGCTGAATTAAGTTTTAAGTACAAGAAAAGAAATCCAAAGCTTGAATTTCTTTTCTTGTACTTAAAGCTTAATGCAGCTCACCCTGAACTTCAATATATCCAAAAAACCGACACTAAATGTGACGAATCAATTGTGTTCAGTTGGGGAAACGATGAGGCAAAGCGATAATCGTTTTCCGATTTCACAATCAACATATAATCACCGAAAAACGAGACAAATGGTGTCTCCCAAGCGATCGATGTCTTTTGCCAGACTCCCTGCAAATTTGTTATCGATTTTAGAGCTGAAGTTTGCATTTTAATAGTTTATAAGGGAAAAAAAGGTACAAATAGATACAAATAGAGTATGTACCGTTTTCTCAAGAGAATTAAAATACTATTGCTGTCCTTTAACCCACCCTAGTGAATATCAGAAACAAGAATGGTAGTCCGATCTTTAGAATCCGCAGAAGAGTGACAATGAGTGAGGAAAAGCTGCACGAAGCGGCGCGCATCTCTCGGAAAAGTGGCTGAAAGGGAACTATGTATCGGGACCGTTTGCCAGATGGCGAGCGATGGCCTGCCCGCACAAAGAACACCAAAACAGAACATTGACAGGGATTTGTTTTGTCTTGTAAATGGCATAGAATAAAGATATTCAGCTGTAAATTTGTACCAAGGGGTTTTCGGGGTCGGAGAATCGATTGGGACTATTCCTTTTACTCCATCTATCAATTTAGCTTGGTTTTTCACGTAAAAATCCCGTAACTTTAGCGCATAAAAATCTGTAAAAAAAAAGCTTTTTTCTGTTTTTCTGATTTGTCAAAGTATCAAAAAAAAAGTTTTTAATTTGATTGAGCAGCTCAGGAATCGATTTCGATCTCTAATACTGTGTCAAGGCTTTTAAGAAATCAACAAACCTGTCTATAAATGATACCGTACACCATCTTGATCGGATAACCAGCGAACAGAGACTACTAAGCCACCTAAAGCTTTAAAAAATACGCTATTTTCTTTATTTTCTATATTTTTCTTCTAAAAAGGCTAAAGATTTACCGATTAAAGAAGCCGTTAGCGAGATGAAAGCAAAAGTAAGCGAGCAACAATTGTAGACACGGGAGACACGCTCAAGGCTCATCAAAGAGAAGGGAAATCTGTAAAAATCTTTAATCTCAAAATATCATTGCTCTTTCATCTTACTGATGATTTACGGGAGAATTCATAAAAATAAAAAAACTGGTAATTTGGATTGAAAGCTAATTTTGGGATTGAAAATGAGACAAAGCGTTGGGCTTGAGCTTAAGCTAGAGTCATTTCTTTTGAGGTTATGAATTTTCTAAAACTACAGTAATCTTGTATCTAGTTTTTTATCTTGATTTCATCGTGAAAGAAAAGAAAACACAGAAAAGAAAAGGGGAAAAGGACAAGAAATAGAATAGAAGATTGAATAAAACTCGGGGTAGGCTAATCTCCGTCATTTGCGCAACAGGGCCATTTGCGCAACTGGGTCCTCTGTGCAACTGGGTCATTTGCGCAACTGGGTCCTTTGCGCAACGCAAATTAATTTTTCTATTTTTCTGAAGATAAGAGGTCCAAGATCCAGGATTTTGTCCCCAAGAGATCCAGGATTTTGTTTGTTTTTTAGAGATGAAAGCAAAAGTAAGCGAGCAACAATTGTAGACACGGGAGACACGCTCAAGGCTCATCAAAGAGAAGGAAAATCTGTAAAAATCTGTAAAAATCTTTAAAAACTGTATTATAATGTATTAAAAGATGAGTAAATGTTATAATTTTAAAAAAACGGTAAAACAAATTGGTCACCATTGGTCACTCTACGCAAAATATGATTTGTGTTGGTTGTCATGGTGATTTGTGTGCGAGTCTTTCCTTTATTAAACCTATCGTAATCCAATCTCCTTTTGGACAGCCTTCTTTTACAGTAAACATTACAATAAACAAGCTATCTAAAATCTAAATTTAAAAAAACAAAAGTACGGTAGCTTTTCTCGAAGCGCACTTTTTAGAAAAACCTACTGTAGCCATTAAGAAAACCTTCAAAAACAAATCAAACTATTTTCACTTTCTGAAATTGCACTTTAACCACCATTCACCCAACAAATACTGCACTTTCTAGCCGAAAAGATTTGAAGAGAAAAGAAAAGATTTTCTAGCGATTTGATTAAAAAGAAAATATCCAAATAAAAACACAAAAAAGATCTCTTGTACTTGTCGACGTTGATCTTGACGAAAAAAAAAATCGCTTTATAGGCACAGAAAAACAATCTCAAAGTGCCTGGGAAATTAACTTTTCTGTTTTTCTGAAGATAAGAGATCCAGGATCCAGGATTTTGTCCCCAAGAGATCCGGGATTTTGTTTGTTTTTTAGGGATGAAAGCAAAAGTAAGCGAGCAACAATTGTGAGACACGGGAGACACGCTCAAGGCTCATCAAAGAGAAGGGAAATCTGTAAAAATCTGTTAAAATCTGTAAAAATCTGTAAAAATCTGTTAAAATCTGTAAAAATCGGTTAAAATCTGTTAAAATCTTTAAAAACTGTATTATAATGTATTAAAAGATGAGTAATGTTATAATTTTAAAAAAAGCCGGTCACCATTGGTCACTCTATGCAAAATATGATTTGTGTTGGTTGTCATGGTGATTTGTGTGCGAGTCTTTCCTTCATTTCTCTTCAATAACAAATTTGCATACACAAAAGCTGTCTGGCTTTAAAATACTACGGGTAAATTAAAGGAAATAGTTCACAAAAATTATCGTATTCTTGAATCCAATGGATTTTTGACTCACAGAATCAGATCAAGTAGATTTTTCGATTACAGTAAGCTTTTTATAAGTGAAACCGTTTCAAAAGTACTTTTTCTTAAAACTACCGTAACCTTACATCAACATAGAGAGTTTTAGGAGTAGGCTAATTTCCGCAAATTTTTTTTGGCGCAACAGGATCATTTGCGCAACTGGGTCCTTTGCGCAACTCGCCATATCTTTCTTCTAAATGGGCCAATCTTTATGATTTTGTTGTCATTTTGTAGAGCTCAATAAGTGCTACAAAATGACAGTAAAATCATAAAGATTGACCGACTTAGAAGAAAGTTATGGCGAGTTGCGCAAAGGGCTCAGTTGCGCAAATGGCCCAGTTGCGCAAATGGCCCAGTTGCGCAAATGACCCAGTTGCGCAAATGGTCCTGTTGCGCAAAGGAGCCAGTTGCGCAAATGGCCCTGTTGCGCAAATGACGGAGATTAGCCTACCCCGAGTTTTATTCAATCTTCTATTCTATTTCTTGTCCTTTTCCCCTTTTCTTTGCTGTGTTTTCTTTTCTTTCACGATGAAATCAAGATAAAAACTAGATACAAGATTACTGTAGTTTTAGAAAATTCATAACCTCAAAAGAAATGACTCAAGCTTAAGCTCAAGCCCAACGCTTTGTCTCATTTTCAATCCCAAAATTAGCTTTCAATCCAAATTACTAGTTTTTTAATTTTAATTTTTATGAATTCTCCCGTAAATCATCAGTAAGATGAAAGAGCAATGATATTGATAAAGCGCTCAAGAGAAGAGAAATCCCAATGAGATGGATGCCTTCCAATTTACCCACCCCATTTGGGGGAAACCAAAATACGAACCTCTCGAAAAGGGAATTCGGAAATCCGAATAGAGAATGAGAAGCCACCATTTATAGCCCTTTATGAGCCTGTGATTGAAAAAAATCAAACGCTTTAGAATATCGTAATTTTTTTTTAGTTGATCGATGTGCTCTGTTTTTAAAATCCTTGTTCTTTGATAGAATTCACAACGCTCCTAAATGGGATCGATCTGTTTTGTTCAAAAATTCAGCCGACTTTAAAGCAAAAATTGATCCCAGAGATATGGGCATAATGATGGGGAAACCGATGGGAAGCATAATGATAGGGAAATCATTACCCAATCATCTCATCCGACAATCCGACTCACTCGCTCACTGCTTCTCCGTTCTCGAAATTCAGCCGACTTTGAGATCCCTAAAAAAAATCCCTATTGTAAACATTGTAAAAATTGTATTGTATTGTAAAAATCCCTAAAAAACAAATAAAATCCTGGATCTCTTGGGGGTTATCTTCAGGAAAACAGAAAAATTAATTTCCCAGGGTTCTCTAAAGATCTCTAATGTCATTGTTTTTCTGTGCCTATAAAGCGATTTTTTTTTCGTCAAGATCAACGTCGATAAGTACAAGAGATCTTTTTCGTGTTATTATTTGGATATTTTCTTTTAAATCAAATCGCTAGAAAATCTTTTCTTTTCTCTTCAAATCTTTTCGGCTAGAAAGTGCAGTATTTGTTGGGTGAATGGTGGTTAAAGTGCAATTTCAGAAAGTGAAAATAGTTTGATTGATTTTTGAAGGTTTTCTTAATGCCTTTGAAGGTTTTTGCTAAAAAGTGCGCTTCGAGAAAAGCTACCGTACTCTTGTTTTTTTAAATTTAGATTTTAGATAGCTTGTTTATTGTAATGTTTACTGTAAAAGAAGGTTGTCCAAAAGGAGATTGGATTACGATAGGTTTAATAAAAAGGATTACGATAGCTATCTACCAAAGGCGACTTTTAGAGATCTTTTTAGTTAAAAGCGGACTACGGTAGGCATCTTTTGAAAAATGTTTTAGTGAAAAAGGGTTACGGTAGTTTTTCCTCGAAGTTGGTATATTGTTGGTTTTTTAAAAGACTTGACACAGTATTAGATATCGAAATTTTTTAGAAAACTCTACGCCGATCTTGTTTTCTACTCTACGCTCTACGCTTCAAAGATCTTGTTTTCTTTGTAGTTTCCTGGAAATTAGATCACGGATTTGTTTCTCAAAAGAAAAGAATCCTGGTTAAAAAAAGAAATGAATCCCTTGCGTGGATTCGCCTCACTCGCCGAAAATATTTCTATCCATCAAAATTACTTGTGGGTGGATTCAGAAGATAAAAGGAAAGAGAGAAAGAAAGGGAGAGAGAAAGAGAGAGAGAGAGAGAGAGAGAGAGAGAGAAAGGGAGAGAGAAAGAGAGAAAGAAAGGGAGAGAGAAAGAGAGAGAGAGAGAAAGAGAGAGAGAAAGAGAGAAAGAGAGAAAGAAAGAAAGAGATGCCCAATTCTCCCACGTGATACTTTCCATTCATTTCTGGGTAAATGTCTGGGTGGAAAATGACCCACCTCATTGAAAAAGATACATGGAAAATCGAATGAAACACTCGTTTAACGAGGATCTTTCGTCTAATTGACAGATTGCTGAAGCTGGCTCAGTACACAGAAAAACTATTAATAAATAAAGATCAAAGGAAAGATGGATAGAGGTTTTCTAAAAAGTAGATAACTTTGCAAACTACCGTAACTGATTGTATCTCTATTTCAAGAAACTACCGTAAACCAAAACTACCTACCAAAAAAAATCAAACTTACTGTTCATTAATTCATTCTTATATTTACTTAAAGTGTATCCTTTTCGTTAATTAACCTATCAGTTGCCGAGAAATCAAACTGTTTATCGAATTGGATCAAAATCTTGGGACCTAGTCAAAATAGCGCCGCCAAAACAGCGCCCGTACAAAAATAGCGCCGTTCAAAACAGCGCCCGTACAAAAATAGCGCCATTCAAAACAGCGCCATTTAAAACAGCGCCCATACAAAAATAGCGCCAAATTGAAAGAGACTGCGATTAGATTTTTCAACCCCAATGTTTTTATACTTCTCATCAGAACTTGTAACGGCGCTGTTTTGGCGGCGCTATTTTGACTAGGTCCCAAAATCTTACTACAGTAGCTTTTCAAAGACAGACAAAAGTTATGGTAGTTTTTTAAAGACAGACAAAGGTTAAGATAGCTTTTCAAAGACAGACAAAGGTTATCTTGTGCATTTATTTATTTTTCAGCCATCTTCAGCCATTTCAGCCATTCCTGTTCTTTAGTACTACCACAATATACAGCTCAACATTTGAATCTCGGAGCTCAAGCTCATCGGAAAAACGCTCAAGAGAAGAGAAATCCCGATGAGATGGATGCCTTCCAATTTACCCACCCCATTTGGGGGAAACCAAAATACGAACCTCTCGAAAAGGGAATTCGGAAATCCGAATAGAGAATGAGAAGCCACCATTTATAGCCCTTTATGAGCCT